TTCATATTTAAAATATGTATTAGATCCTCGATATACATTTCAAATGTATTGTGTGGAATATTTATAATGATCATTATACATGTAAGTATGTATGATAATGGCTCTTTTTGTTTGAAAATTTATTTGATAAGTAACGAGGGTAAATTAAATTGAGATTGTCTACCAAAGATGGATGATCAAAGCCGTCTAATGTGCACAACTTAATTTAAATACAAATTTTTAAATATTGATGGTAATAGAGCATATTTTTATTTTAATATGATATTATTAAAATCAAATCATGAGTTAACATATATTGAATTTGACATTAATTCAATAAAAAAAATAGTTTTTAGGTTACCTTGACCAATATTTCAACATGATATTTGAAATATCATGTTATTTGAGCCAATATTTTCTTTTATTGATTCCTCATCAATTTCAACATGATATTTGAGCCAATATTTTCTTTTAAAAAAATATAATAAATGAGTGAAACATGTGAAATAGGATAGTCAGACAAAGTCCAAACCATCATTTGACCTATCCTTAAGAGTAGCAAGGAGAGGAGGATTGAAGCTAGGAGAAAATGTTAGGAATAATTCATATAAGAAATAAAAAGAAAAGCCTCGAGTCGGATAATATATTTTAAGTCCGATAACATTATTAAAATTTTAAGTTGAATTAATGAATAACTTAAATATATATATTAATTTTGACTCGTGAAAGATAAAAGTACCTATCGGAGTAGCTCCAATTCGACATGTCCATTACTCATTAAGATCAAAGAAAGCAACCATTGAAGGGAGAATTAGGCGGCCCACTTGTCGCTACACGTTTTCAAATACCACCTGAATCACTTTTTTTTCTTTTCTCAAGCACAAGGTTTGGCCATTGACAATTCATGAGCTACCGCAATAGAATTAGATGGAGAGAGAGAGAGAGAGAGATCATAACCTTTATCCAAAATAAAATAAGACTTCAGCATATTTGATTTCGTATGGAACTAACTTTTCTACTAGAATAATGCAGTGTCATTGAGAAATGATAGCTTAGTTGTTGTTGAAGTATGAACTACAAAGGAAGGTCGCTCAATTGGCCGAGGAAATGTAAGTTCTCATGCAATTTCCAACACGTCCCCTCGCTATTCTTGACAAGTCTAGAATATTGGCCATCAATATCATCTATGTTCTCCGAGAAACTGATTGTTTATATAATACTTTGATTTAGTTATATATTATAAATAAATAAATAAATAAAGACGTGTATTAATTTATAATGATATGATGAGTATATTATATGAGATGTGTATTGTATTTACTGTGGCTTACATCATTTTTTTTAACTACTACTTCCACACGGAGATTATTTTTTAATTAATTATTTGACCTATTTATCATGGATTTTGAAATACAATTGAAGGATTGAAAGCAAAAATACTATCTCATGGACACATAAGGAGTATTTTTTAAATTAATTATTTGGCCTAATTGTTGTAGATATTGAAATATACTTCCGAAAAAAAGTGTTATGTGGCATGGACCAATTGGTCGATTTCATGTTTAATTATCTTAAAATGTAATAATACAAAAAAATAGAATTAATTTGTACCTTGTTACTAAAGCTTAGATAAATTTTTTGAAATATATTATTATTTCAATTATTATAATTCTAAACGATAAAAGAATTTTAGACGAGTAATTTTTAATCAATTTTGGATACTCTTATATACTAGAAAGTGCATTATGTCCGTTAGTTAGAATAACATATGAACAAGAGAAAGAGCTTAACGACTTAGACAATACTTCTGTAAGTCATTTAGGTTGAGAGGAAATCAACCATTGGCTATTTTCAATATGATACTATATGGTTGCTGAGTTAACTAACTCATTAACTTGATTAATATATAACCAGGCTTACATTTCGGAGATCCATTTATCGAGGGTTGAGAATTTAAAATAATATCCAATATATTTTACACTTCAAAGCTCAATTATGTTGAAAGTAATAGATCATTGTAAGATCTTAAATCTCTTGATTAGGAGATCATATATTTCTCAAATTTCTACCACAAAAGGGATTTGACATCTCATAATTTGTGTAAATCCAACTGTGTATGAGATTGATTTGATTATCTTTTACCCTATAAATAGGATTGTGATTTACGCAATAAATATATAATAAAGTTATAAGCTTTTTCTTTTTTTCTTTCATTTTATCATGACATCTTGTGAGATTCCTTCATCGTTATGATTATTTTTCAATCTCTCCTCCCGTTGAGTTTAATCAAGATCCTCCGCTATTGAATATAGTCGAGATCCTACTCTAGTTAGATCCCTTGTTATTAAATGTAATTGAGATCTTGCTCTCACTAAGCACAACCAAGCTCCTCTTATGTATATCTCGTTGTCCTAACTCCGTTGCATACTAAAGGATGGCATCATCCTTTAGAAGGAGACCCTCATTGGATCCTCTTCTACCTCTTGTCAACAATATCATATTTTTGTTAGTTTGCATTATATGAAATAATCCCTAGATCAATTTATTAATGAATTTTATTTTCAAATGATATTTCTTTAGGATAAACTTATTTTATATGAACCTTGATGGGGATGCAAAAATAATGCTACATTATTTGAGACATATTATGATATATTAAGATTAAATCATATTTTAATGGCTTTAAATGATGATTCTGAGTGTTTTTCTAGTTTATTGCAAATTGATTCTTTCTTTAAACGTTGCTCTTTCATAACTTTTATCTGAGTTGATGATAGTTAAATAAGTTATAATAATCGAATAACTCATGTCATTGTTTCGTATTTCTTATAAAAGCCTCCTTGTTATTTGACATCTAAGCTGAGCTAAGCATTTTACTCTAATCATTTTTTAAATTTGATACTATTAAACTAAATCTTTGGAACCCGATTTAATGTTTTTACTCCTAACCATCCTATAACATAGGGTTAAGGTTCATTTTAGCCCATATAGTTTTGACCATGAACTACTTAAGTCATTATAGTTTATTAATATTTAAAATAATTCATATATTTTAAAAAAACATAATATATAAGCCACTCCCGTTAAATTTGAGTTAACATACATTAGTGTCTACTTACTTACATGACATATTGACTCATAATAAACTATTAATATAATAATATATATAATTTAAGTTTTAAAAAAGGGGTCCATTTTAGTACTTGTGATTTTGGTCATAAACCATTTTAGCTATTTTGTTTATGTCTAAAATAATTCATACATTTTTTAAAACATAACATATAAGCCCCTGTTGTCAAGTTTGAATTGAGAGATATTAGAGTCTACTTATGTGGTATGCTGACTCATAATAAATTATTAATATAATGATATGTGTAATTTAAATTAAAAAAAGATCTATCTTGTCGAGGAAGAGGAAGCAATGAAGGCCATAACAATGGACGAAGGCTGAGAGATAGAGGTAGGAGAGGCCGGAGGCGGAGATGAAGGGAGAGCTAGACCACAACGTAGTGGGCACAATGGGTGGGGGCATAAGAGAGGATGAAGTGAGAGGTGGTGAGGACGAAAATGCCTAGGAGGAGGAAGAGGGACCAAAAGACTATCATTGTATGCTTAGCATTGAACTAGTCGACGCATATCCACCTGAGGTAGGATCAGAAGCTCCTGTGCTTATCGTTAGTATGGAAGAGGCTGCATGCGTATGATGCCCTACTAGGCAATAGTGGCTTGATGCTATTGTTGGTGGTCGCTTCCACGATGATGTCTCCTTCCGCTATTGATATTGATAGTGGTCTTAAATTTTTAATTTAAATTATATATATTATTATATTAATAATTTATTATGAGTAAGTATGTCATGTAAGCAGACTTTAATATATGTTAACTCAGACTTGATATAAGAGGCTTATATGTTATATTTTTAAAAATATAGGGGTTATTTTAGACACGAGCAAAATCATAAGGACTTAAATGGTCCATGACGAAAGCCACAAGGGTTAAAATAGATTTTTTAATTTAAATTATATATCATTATAATAATAGTTTATTATGAGTCAAAATGTTATGTAAGTAGACTCCAACGTCTGTTAACTCAGACTTGACGGGAGGAGCTTATATGCTACGTTTTTTAAAATATAGAAGTTATTTTAGACATAAGTAAACTATAAGGATTTAAATGGTTTATAATCAAAATTATATGAGCTAAAACGAACCTTAATCCTATAATCGAAAAAAAATATAATCTAATCCACCTTTATATCGGATATGACATAATAATATCTAAATATAGACTAAAATTAAAAACACACATTGAATACATCAATTTTCTTCACGTATGTATATATATACCCTATATTTATATTTACATGTATCTAATCGGCTTTAGTCAAATTAAAATACCATTAATTGAACTTCAAAGGTTTTTGTCACTAAGATCAAATAACAACGAAACAAAGTATTTGGACAGCTATTATGTCATGATACTCTACCAGCTATATGTCTATAGTGATGCTTGCAAATTATTCTACTGTTGCAAGAACTTTCATCTGAATTGAATTTCGTGGACCACAATCCACTCATTTTGATCAATAAAACATACAACATCATTTATCTTGATATCAGAGACATAACGATTGCATTCATTCTCAAATATTGTCAAACATAATTACTTGGCAGCTACATTATATTTCTTATTATGTTCCTTCCAAAATCATTGTTGTTAGGGATAGTATCGATCAATAATCGGTATGATTTGATCTTGACCGAAAAAACACGAGATGATAACCTGCATCACAATATGATGAGACGATTGTTATGAAATCGAGATATCCAAAATGGCTCCTCGATGGTGATTAATGTTAGAATATTTTCTACTAATCATGTCTTTAAGATATTTAATTTTATCTCAATCCTAAGCTACCATATTTGATTATTTTTAAAATTTTAATTAATAATATATCATCATCATCATCATCAAGGACATGACGTGGACCTGCGACACGTTCCCTCCTCAAGTTCGAGATAAGTGGGTTGACGACACATTTTGAAGAGGACTGAACGCCAGTAACTCCTCGCCGGACATATGCTATTATGCCTCGCCTGCAACCTCGATCCATTCGCCCACCGCAACTCCCATTCAGGCCGCGCGCCCGCCGACGGAGCGCTCGCCCTCGAGCCCCGCGAGGCTCTCCGTCTCCTCAGCCGAAGCGCCTCCACCACCCTGGGACATGTCAAGCTCACCCACGCCCGCATCCTCCGCTCTGGCCTGTCCCACGACCCCGCCCTCCTCCCCTCCCTCCTCCGCCTCTACTCCTCCCACTGCCGTCTCGATCTCGCCGCCCGCCTCCTCGCCATCTTCCCCGACCCTCCCACCATCGCATGGAACCTCATGATCCGCGCCCACGCCGGCGCGGGCGCCCCCCTCGACGCCGTCCTTGTCTATAACCGCATGCTCTCCCGCGGCCTCCGACCTGATAAGTTCACCTTCCCCTTCGTCGTCAAGGCCTGTTCGATGCTCCTGGAGGTTAGTAAGGGCAAGGAGGTCCACGCCTTTGCTATCAAGTCTGGGTTCTGGCCTGACACGTTCCTGCAGAACGCCCTCATTCATCTCTACTTCTGCTGCGGCGACCCAGTGAGCGGGCGGAAGGTGTTCGACGAAATGCCAGTTAAAAGCGTCGTGTCGTGGACCGCTCTGCTTTCCGGACTCGTGGCGTGCGGCGAGGTAGAGGCCGCTAGAACCGTCTTCGACAACATGCCGATCCGAAATGTGGTGACTTGGACGGCGATGATCGACGGGTACGCGAGGAATGGGCGCCCAGATGAGGCGTTCAGGCTGTTCCGGAGGATGCAGGACGACGACGTGATGCCGAACGAGTTCACGGTGGTGGCGCTGTTGATCGCGTGCGCAGAGCTTGGGAGCCTGAGTGTGGGCCGTTGGGTGCATGAGTTTGCCCAAAAGAATGGCGGACTCGACAAGGGCGTCTACGTGGGCACTGCGCTCATAGATATGTACAGCAAATGTGGAAGCTTGGAGGACGCGGTGAGAGTGTTTGATCATATGCCAGTCAAGAGCGTGGCAACTTGGAACTCCATGATCACCAGCTTCGGCGTTCATGGGCGGGGAAAGGAAGCGGTGGCTCTTTTCATGGAAATGGAGAAGGCAAAGGTGCTGCCGGATGGAATCACCTTTGTGGGCGTCTTGAGCGCCTGTGTGAGGGAGTGCATGGTGGAGGAGGCCTGCAGGTTCTTTGGGTCCATGGTCGAACGATATGGCATCGGCCCATGTCGCGAGCATTACGACTGTCTCGTGGAGCTCTTGAATCGTGCTGATGACTCAGATGAAGCAACCAAAATAGTTGATAATTCGCTACAAAAGCTTGGCGTTGCTGCAAGACAAATGCTGAAGAAATTGTGCCAAACAAATGCCGACATGAGGCTCCAAAAAGTTGTTCATCCTCATGGATTCGAAAACCTTCAAAAGCCTTGAGCGTGAAGTAGAATAGTTTCAGCCTGGAAAACAAAGATGAGTGCTGCCAAGACATGGCCGACAAGTTTATGCTGAGCATTGCAACTCTATTGCAGTGCTGGATCCTGGATTCCAGTCTCTGTAAACCATATAGTTCTGTCTACAGCTTCAGGTTCAGAAGAAGAAGCTGGCTGTCTAAGATAAATGATATGCGTGTTAAGCAAAACAGCAGAAAATGAACATTCATTCAAACGGGAGTATCTATTTCTCTCTCCTGAGCCTTGAGAGAGAAGCACTAGCGATCAGTTCCTCTCCCTCTCCTTTTCTTGGAAGTTCCGCTTCCTCCTCCCCTGGTACTACCTGACACAGTTCCCTCTTGTTCATGGCAGCTGTACGGCTATTCCCCCTGAAGCCCTCTTCGCTCTTATCTCGGATGAGTCTCGCCTCTACATGGCTTCAACCTCCCCCATCTATTAACAAAAAAGCTAAAGGTGTCGCGGATGGGCAGATCGATCCCGTTCTTTAAAGTCAGCTCTTTCAGATTCAATGCAAGTCCAACCTCGAGTTGGATCTATACGTCAATGAGTTTTCTATGGCCTACGAAGGCTGACAAACTAATCTATCTGACAAATTTTTGAGTAAAATTCCTTCATTTGACCTTATGAAGTCTCTGTTTCCAAAGATATGAAATTGGATCTGATATCATGGATATGACTAGAGGTTTTTTTTTTTCTTCTTATTTCACTTGTGGTGGAAATGAATCACGTCTTCTTCGGAGGATTCTAGTTTTTCAAAAATCAATCCCTTATCCTCATCCTCTAAAAATCATATTTTTAGTTTTTATTGAAAAAAAGAGAGCCCATTCCCATCTTGTTACAACTTCCGGGCCCTCTTATGCAATTCCTTCTAACCCTAATTTCTCTCACAAATCATAGTTTGTTAAAGTCAACCAAGCCACTTTGTATTGTGCCCATGGCAAATTTACTTGGATTTCTATTCTCCTTAATCGGTCCCAGGAAATTTAGATTCAAGTTGATAATATAATTTTTTCAAACCATGATTTTTGAAAACCTCCCTAACATCTATTTTAGATATGAAAAAGTTGATCATAAGGCTTCCTCCCGAGTTCTCCCTTTAACCCATCCTATCTTCGATTTCAGCCTTGACACCTCAGGCTGATCCTAAGGTTTCCTCCTGAGTTATGAGGTGGACGATGAACTATTGTATGAGCTTTGGGTTCGAGTTTAGAGAAGAGCTAGATCCAAACCCCCTCTAAACTAGCTTGACAAGGGAAGAAACCAACCTATGAACCTATCAACTCGATAGCTAGCTTCGACCTAATTCTTCTCTTCACTTTAGCATCTTCAATATTCATTTTGGAGCCATTGCTTGCTCTTAAGATGAATCAAAATCGTAGACCCACTATTAATGTCTATCATCCCTTGAAGTAAACATTAAATGCTCCTTTTTATCCCGTTGAGTCATCCGATCGCTCTATTTTATTAAAGTTACCCTTTACACCATTAGTGAAGAAAATCTTTGAAGGAGAAGTTGGCATCTCATTGTCATCATCTCCCACTAAGTCGAGGCATACCTCTCGCATATGGGTTTGGTTATGTCAAGAGAAACTATCCCCCTCACATCCTATCAAACCTTCCCCAAACCCTAACCCATCGCTCCCACTAAATAACCCTTTCATCCCTCTCAACACTTTAAAGAACTTTAAATTATGTCACCGGCCAATTTAGGAGAGTCTCACTCACTTCATGTTGTCTTTAGAAAAAAGAAGAAAATTGAGTCTATTAAACCCCATGTCTTATCATAATTTTTTAATGGATTCCCTACTAACTCTTCTCAAATGATGTTTCCTTATGATTAAAAGGATTATCGTTAAACTTTATTTAGTCTGATTTATTCTTATAACTTGAACTTTATTATACTCTTTAAAATACATGCTCAGAAGTCTAATTCTAAATCCTTCATTCAGTGTATGGGGCAATAATAGCATGAGTATGTAGTGTTGGGAAGAAACATGTTAAAGCGGAATAATTCTTTCCCTCTTTGTGTATCAAAATAGGTTCCTCATCAAAATACCAACTTGATATCCAAATGAAAATATCAACCAGCACAGCATAAACAATAGAGCAAAAATCAATCACATAGTGAGACCAAATCTTTTTAACGTGGAAAACCCAATGTGGGAAAAACCACGGGACCGTAGTCCACCTCAAACTTCCACTATCAATAATAATGATAACAGGTTTACAGTAGGTCTTCTCTAGAATGAGGATCAGAATAATATCAAGAACATAGATCTTGGCTCAACAATAGCATATCTTCATCATGTAGGATGGATCTCCTCAAAAGAGAATTCTAGGTCTCATAGAGTGGATATCATAGGAAAGTACCTTAGAGAGGGTAAATTGCAGATCAACACCGTTAGGATTGTAGAGTTTGCTGCAAGGATTCTCCTTATAAAATTTGGGCCGAAACTGACAACGTTTGGCCACCGATCATCAAGCAAAAAACTCAGAAACTTAATCTTTCTCTCTCTTCATTTCTCTCTCCTCTTTCCTATGCACACCACACACTACACGCTGCAATCGGATCTCTTTTCCTAACCTTCTCTCTCCTCTTTTTAATTTTTTTTCATTTGTTGATTTGGGCTCAATAGGCCCAATTGTTCAAGCCCACATATGGGCTGGACCCAACAATTCTCCCCCTCCAGCTCATATGGTGGGCTGTACCAAGCCCGCTCTTCACCTACATGCTTCAAGCTTCTCCTTAGGCAAAGACTTTGTTAACATATCTGCACCATTCTCAATAGTATGCACTTTTTTCAACTTTAATTCTTTCATCTCAAGCACATCATGAATCCAGTGATATCTCAAATCAATATGCTTGGATCTAGAATGGTATGTTGAATTCTTGGAGAGGTGAATGGCACTTTGACTATCACAGTAAACGGTATATACTTCCTGTTTCAAGCCCAATTCCTGTAGAAACTTTTTCATCCATAAAGTTTCCTTACAGGCTTCAGTAACTGCTATGTATTTTGCTTCTGTGGTTGATAGAGCAACACACTTCTGTAACTTAGACTGCCAAGAGACTGCTCCTCCTGCAAATGTCATCAAGAATCCCGAAGTGGACTTCTTGGAATCAGTATCACCTGCCATGTCTGCATCTGTGTAGCCTTCTAACACAGGTTCATCACTGCCAAAACATAAATACAACCTAGAAGTACCTCTTAAATATCTTAATATCCATTTCACTGCTGCCCAATGTTCCTTTCCAGGATTAGAGAGAAATCGGCTGACAACTCCAACTGCATGAGCTATATCTGGCCTAGTACAAACCATAGCATACATCAAACTGCCTACTGCAGATGAGTAAGGCACTCTGGACATTTCTTCTTTTTCTTTCTCACTTATAGGACATTGTTTCGAACTCAGCTTGAAATGACCTACAAGTGGAGAACAAACCGCTTTGGCTTTACTCATATTAAATCTTTCAAGAACCTTTTCAATGTAAGTCTCCTGAGATAGCCAAATCTTTCTTTTCTTCCTCTCACGAAAAATCTTCATACCAAGTATTTGTTTCACCGATCCTAAGTCTTTCATGGCAAAAGACTTACTTAGCTCTCTTTTAAGCTTTTCAATTTTTCCAACATCATGGCCAACAATCAGCATATCATCAACATATAGCAGTAAAATAATAAAATCATCATCTGAAAATTTCTTCATAAACACACAATGATCATATGTGGTTCTATCATACCCTTGGCTCAATATAAAGGAATTAAACTTCTTATACCACTGTCTAGGTGCCTGTTTGAGTCCATATAAGCTTTTCCTAAGCTTACACACCATATTTTCTTTTCCCTTGACATTGAAACCTTCTAGTTGCTCCATGTAAATTTCTTCTTCTAAGTCACCATGAAGAAATGCTATTTTTACATCAAGTTGCTCAACTTCTAAATTCAAGCGGGCAGCCAAACCAAGAACAACTCGGATAGAGGACATTTTTACAACCAGAGAAAATATTTCTTCAAAGTCAATACCTTTCTTCTGACTGAATCCTTTCACAACTAGTCATGCCTTGTATCTTTATTGTGAGCTATTGTTTTCAGTCTTCAATTTATAAACCCACTTATTCTTGAGAGCTTTCTTTTCTTTGGGCAACTTTACCAAGTCATAGGTGTAGTTCTCAAGCAAGGATCTCATCTCTTCTTGCATGGCTTTAACCCACTCATTCTTATTCTCATGTAGAATAGCTTCTTAGTAAGTTTTTGGCTCTCCCCCGTCAGTAAGCATAACATACTCATATGGAGGATATCTGGTAGAGGGTTGTCGCTCTCTAGTGGATCTTCTCAATGGAATCTCAACTGGTGGTGGAGGTGCCTGTTCAGTTGGTTCAGCATCATCAACTGTAGGAGTATCATCACTGGTATTCTCACCACAATCTTCTTGTTCATCTCCCCCATGATCATCATGAACTATAGGTGAAGGAACTGGACCCAAACTCCAAGGAATATAAATAGAGGTTTCTGGCTTCTTAACATTATCACCATCATCAAACAATTGGTTTTCAAGAAACACAACATCTCTGCTTCTAATAATCTTCTTGTTTACTGGATCCCATAATCTGTACCCAAACTCTTCATGACCATATCCCAAGAAGATACATGCTTTTGCCTTATTATCAAGCTTGGACCTCTCATCTTTGGGAATATGAACAAATGCTTTACACCCAAAGACTCTCAAATAATTATAAGATATATCTTTTCCTCTCCATACTCTCTCTGGAACATCACCTTGCAGAGGAACTGATGGAGAAAGATTTATCAGGTCAACTGTAGTTCTCATAGCCTCCCCCCAAAATGACTTCCGTAACTTGGCGTGAGAAAGCATACACCTAATCCTTTCTTCAATGGTTTTGTTCATCCTTTTTGCCACACCGTTCTGCTGAGGAGTTTTAGGAACTGTTTTCTCAAGCTTGATTCCATGGAACCTGCAATAATTCTCAAAAGGACCCATGTACTCGCCACCATTATCTGATCGAATACACTTTAATTTTCTGCTAGTTTCTCTTTCAACACTGACATGAAACTCCTTGAAAGCATCGAGTACCTGGTCTTTAGATTTTAAAGCAAAAGCCAACACTTTTCTAGAATGGTCATCAAT